GACAGCCAGGCGTTGTGTCCAGAGTCGGCGTCCACCGCCACCACCTTCGTGACCAGGTAGCCTGGCTGCGCGGCGCGCGGCACCGTGTCGAAGAGCGCCGAACCGTCAGGCCCCAGCGCCGGGTACAGCACCCTGGGCGCGTTGTCGTTGCGGTCGCCCACCAGCACGCGCAGGCTCACGTTGGTGCTGAGCGCGGGCGAGCCGTGGTCGCGGGCCTGCAGCGTCAGCTCGAAGGCGCGCAGCTGCTCGTGGTCGAAGGCGCGCTGCGCGAACACCACGCCACTCTGTGCGCTCACGGACACGTAGGACGACAGCGCGCGCGGCTCCAGGTCGCTGGCCAGGATGGAGTAGGAGACTTGGCCGTTGGGCCCCAAGTCTGGATCTGAAGCGCTAACTTGGGCGATGGAGGCTCCAGGCGGGTTGTTTTCTGCCACGTGGACCACGTAGGAGGCCTGGTGGAAAACTGGAGCGTTGTCGTTGACATCTGCGAGGCGCAGAGTGATGCTTATACTAGAGGAGAGGGGCTGCTTGCCTCTGTCGGTGGCCATTATAGTGACGTTGTATTCTGGGATCTCCTCCCGGTCCAGGGTCCTGTCTGTCACTAGCTTGTAATAGTTCTTCGAGTAAGATTTCAATATAAACTCGGCCTTTCCCAAGATTTGGCAGTAAACTTCTCCATTTTCTCCAGAGTCTCTATCTCTTGTTTTTATCAAGGCGATCACTGTTCCTGGTGGTGAATCCTCTGGTAGGGGAGTAAATATTGAAGTCACAATCACTTCTGGTGCACAATCATTCTCATCGAGAATTTCGACTTGGACACTGCAATGGGCTGCTAGATCTCCAGGATCTTTCGCTTCTATAGTGAGAGTGTAACTACTAGCGATTTCAAAATCAAAATCATCCTTTGTCGTGATTTCTCCTGTTCTTCTGTCTAAGTTAAAAAATCGTTCCACTTGTTCATCCACATTATGAAAGGAGTAGATGATCTCTGCGTTGACGCCCTCGTCCTGGTCGGTGGCTGTCAGTTGAAGCACTAAGAATCCAGGGGGCACACCCTCTTGCAGGCTGACCCTGTACACGTCCTGGCTGAACACTGGGGGATTATCGTTGGCATCTGTGACTTGGATTTGGATCTGGGTGGTGCCACTTTGGGGTGGGTCCCCACCGTCTACAGCTGTCAGGACCAGATGATGAAAATTCTGCTCTTCTCTGTCCAGAGAATGTTTCAGAATCAACTCAGGATATTTACGTCCATCTGGAGTCTGTTTCTCTGTGAGATCAAAGTGCTCATTTTCATTAAGGTTGTATCTTTGCAGTGAATTAGGACCAGCATCCAAATCCAGCGCCGGGTCTAGTGGAAATGTTTTACCTGGCTTAGTGGATTCTCCAATTTTTAAGTCAATCTTACTCTGTTTGAATAGCGGAGTGTTGTCATTTATATCCTGTACTATTACTGATACATGGAAAATATTTAGTGGGTTTTCAGCGACAGTATCGAAATCCAGAATGCACAGAGGCTTCTTCCCACAAATCTGCTCTCGGTCTATTCTATCACTCACAAGTAAGTCCCCGCTCTCAGGGTTTACAATAAAATATTCCTTCTCCGCGGTAACCCGCAACTTCCGGGCCGACAAGTCCCGGACACTGAGCCCCAGATCCTTGGCGAGGTTTCCTACCACCGAGTTCTTGGCCAGCTCCTCGGGAATTGAGTAGCGAATTTGGTCTGGGAGAGCCCCGCGGAACAAAGACAGCAGGAAGGGCAACAGTACCTGCCGCCACAGCGCTCGGCCGCTCCTCTCTGCGCTTGGCCTCATCCTGTCTCCCTCCACTGCTGCTCCGCTCCTTGGTCGGGAGGAGGAATAAGCAAAATCCGGGATAGGGTCACTTTTCCTGCTTTCGTTTCCACTATCCAAACCTGTACTGGCCTCCCTTGTGTGGTTTGTTTGAGCAGGAAGTTACCCTTTCAGAGGTTCCCAAATGCGTCTCTGATTATCTTCTCTTCCTTCTTTTGACCTACAGCGACGCCCAGAGGTTTTCCCCAGAAACTGCACTAATGACTTGTAAATGTTTTGCAAGGAACTATTTTTGTTTTCTCTTTTTTTGGGGGGGGATTTACAAGGAGTATTTATTTGTTTTTAAATAGGTATACATTCATACATTTCGAAATTCAGAAGGCACAAATGGCATATTTTATAGGCTCTCCCTCTCTGCTTTCAACAACATATTTTTCCCAGGAGAAATGAGTGCTGTGTTTTTTGTGTATCATTCCATTAGTATGTTTTGTAGAGTCCAGCAGATTTCTAAAAATATTCTCCCCCAGTTTTAGACACAAAAGTATACAATATACAATGTTTTGCATCTTGCTTTTTTCACTCATTATATCTTTTTTTTAATTGATGGAAATTTGCTTTTTATTTTTTGACAGTTTGCAGATGTTTCTTTCAAATTCTCAACCATTTGTTAGTAATAAAATGTAATTTTTTTGATTGTTATCAAATTTGAGGAAACTTCTATTGAGTTTCCTTGAAATCTGAGCTATAAGACTTTGGTGCATTTTATTTTATTAAATTAATTTTTATTGGAGTATAGTTGCTTTACAATGTTGTGTTAGTTTCTGCTGTACAGCAAAGTGAATCAGCTATACGTATACATATACCCTCTCTTTTTTGGATTTTCTTCTCATTTAGGTCACCACCAAGCATTGAGTAGAGTTTCCTGTGCTGTACAGTAGGTTCTCATTAGTTACCTATTTTATACATAGTAGTGTGTATATAACTCATTATATCTTGAAGATAACATATTCTAACAGTACATAAAAAGGTTTCCCATTTTTAATTTCTTATGGCTATGTAGTAGCCCATCATATAATTGTGCAACAATTTATTTAACCAGAAATATTACTTTCTAAAAGAAACCCAGTGTCCACTCAAACAAAAATGTATTTCCATGTGATATTAGTTATAAATTATCTACTGCCCTCCTAGGCATTTAAAAAATATATATCACTCTGATTCTGGAATGTATTCTTAATGCCAGCATGCAAATATGTCTGTCACAGTTTCAAGACAATTGATATTTCCAAATTATATTTTAAAGCTTCAGTATTTTAAACGATCTATCCTCAGATACGATTTGTTTCTCAATATTCATTTATTATTTTCTCTTTCCTCTCCTCATGCCAGCTAGTTGTATCATACCACATTCCTGTTTTACTCTATGTATTGCACCACAATTTCCCATGAAGACAAAGGCATTTAGAAACTCAAACTCTCCTTCTTAAGCTGAATTGAGGCATAGTCCACAAACTATTGCTACAATTTCCAGGTATTCAAAGTTCACTAATTTTTGCAGTCCTAGACATTCATGAATATTTTCCCCAAGTCATATCATCCCAGAGCCCAACGGTGACAGAGATACCTATGAGCAATTTTTGGGACCAGGGCTGAGACCTTCTTACTAAATAGCATAAACCATATCAGTTTAGAATCTAAGTTACCCAACCTGTATAAGAGGCTCCCAAGATGAAAAAGGAAAGATTTTTAAAAGTTATGTTTTCCTTAGAAATCAAAAAGGGTCTCATAGTGATACCATAATAGGTAATTCAGAAATTATTAAAATCACTCCTGCAAGCTATTAAATATGAGTGAAATTAAATGGGCAATATTTTTGGTAATCACAGAAGTGCACCAAGGGAATCACACATAGTCAGTTGATGCATCTCACAAACTGCAACAACACAATATATGAAATGTACCAATCCAGTTGAGAAACTATCCCTGTTAAAGTTATATCTAAATGTTAAGTGTATTCCCCAATATTTATAAATTGACATTGTTTAATCATAATGGAAAATACCTATCCCAAAGGAAATAAAAGTAAATTTCAAGCAAAGTACATTAGGGTGTAAAAAGAGGAAAATTTAAAATACTCAATCCAGACACAACAACAGCTTCATAAGGGAGAATGCTTTAATATAAATATACACAATTGCCTCCTTAATAATTGTGAATTATTTCACAATTCTAATCTATCCTTTCAGTAATGCCTAAAGGAAAATGGCTTTAAAGACGTGAGAGGCAGCAGAGAAGAAAAAGAAATAGAAGGAATTCAAATCGGAAAAGAAGAAGTAAAGCTGTCACTCTTTGCAGATGACATGATACTATACATAGAGAATACTAAAAGATGCTACCAGAAAACTACTAGAGCTAATCAATGAATTTGGTAAAGTAGCAGGATACAAAATTAATGCACAGAAATCTCTCACATTCCTATACACTAATGATGAAAAATCTGAAAGAGAAATTAAGGAAACACTCCCATTTACGACTGCAACAAAAATAACAAAATACCTAGGAATAAACCTACCTAAGGAGGCCAAAGACTGTATGCAGAAAACTATAAGACACTGATGAAAGAAATTAAAGATGATACAAATAGATGGAGAGATATACCACGTTTTAGGATTGGAAGAATCAACATTGTGAAAATGACTATACTACCCAAAGCAATCTACAGATTCATTGCAACCCCTATAAAACTACCAATGGCATTTTTCACAGAACTAGAACAAAAAATTTCACAATTTGTATGGAAACACAAAAGACCCTGAATAGCCAAAGCAATCCTGAGAAAGAAAAACAGCTGGAGGAATCAGGCTCCTGGACTTCAGACTACACTACAAAGCTACAGTAATCAAGACAGTACAGCACTGGCACAAAAACAGAAATATAGATCAATGGAACAGGACAGAAAGCCCAGAGATAAACCCACGCACATATGGTCAACTTATTTTTTTTTAATTTATTTTATTTTTTATTTTTGGCTGCGTTGGGCCTTCATTGCTGCACACGGGCTTCCTCTAGTTGTGGTGAGCGGGGGCTACTCTTCGTTGTGGTGCATGGGCTTCTCACTGCGGTGGCTTCTCTTGTTGCAGAGCACAGGCTCTAGGCACGCGGGCTTCAGTAGTTATGGCACACAGGCTCAGTAATTGTGGCTCACAGGCTTAGCTGCTCCGCGGCATGTGGGATCTTCCTGGACCAGGGCTCAAACCCGTGTCTCCTGCATTGGCAGGCGGATTCTTAACCATTGCACCACCAGGGAAGCCCTGGTCACCTTATTTTTGATAAAGGAGGCAAGAATATACAATGGAGAGAAGACAGCCTCTTCAATAAATGGTGCTGGGAAAACTGGACAGCCACATGTAAAAGAATGAAATTAGAACACTCCCTAACACCATACACAAAAATAAGCTCAAAATGGATTAAAGACCTAAATGTAAGGCCAGACACTATAAAACTCTAGAGGAAAACATAGACAGAAAACTCTATGACATAAACCACAGCAAGATTCTTTTTGACCCACCTCCTAGAGAAATGGAAATAAAAACAAAAATAAACAAATGGGACCTAATGAATCTTAAAAGCTTTTGCACAGCAAAGGAAACCATAAACAAGATGAAAAGACAACGCTCAGAATGGGAGAAAATATTTGCAAACAAAGCAAGTGACAAAGGATTAATCTCCAAAATATACAAGCAGCTCATGCACCTCAGTCTCAAAAAATCAAACAACCCAATCCAAAAATGGGCAGAAAACCTAAATAGACATTTCTCCAAAGAAGATATACAGATTTTCGACAAACACATGAAAGGATGCTCAACATCACACATCATTAGAGAAATGCAAATCAAAAGTACAATGAGGTATCACCTCACACCGGTCAGAATGGCCATCATCAAAAAATCTACAAACAATAAATGCTGGAGAGGGTGTGGAGAAAAGGGAACCCTCTTGCACTGTTGGTGGGAATGTAAATTGATACAGCCACTATGGAGAACAGTATGGAGGTTCCTTAAAAAACTAAAAATAGAACTACCATATGACCCAGCAATCCCACTACTGGGCATATACCCTGAGAAAACCATAATTCAAAAAGAGTCATGTATGACAATGTTCATTGCAGCACTATTTACAATGGCCAGGACATGGAAACAACCTAAGTGTCCATCGACAGATGAATGGATAAAGAAGATGTGGCACATATATACAATGGAATATTACTCAGCCATAAAAAGAAATGAAATTGAGTTATTTGTAGTGAGGTGGATGGACCTAGAGTCTGTCATACAGAGTGAAGTTAAGTCAGAAAGAGAAAAATACCGTATGCTAACACATATATATGGACTCAAAAAATAAAAAAAGGTTATGAAGAACCTAGGGGCAGGACAGGAATAAGGACGCAGACATAGAGAATGGACTTGAGGACATGGGGAGGAGGAAGGGTAAGCTGTGACAAAGTGAGAGAGTGGCATGGACATATATACACTACGAAACATAAAATAGATAGCTAGTGAGAAGCAGCCACATAGCACAGGGAGATCAGCTCAGTGCTTTGTGACCACCTAGAGGGGTTGGATAGGGAGAGTGGGAGGGAGGGAGATGCAAGAGGGAACAGATATGGGAACATATGTATATGTACAACTGATTCACTTTGTTATAAAGCAGAAACTAACACACCATTGTAAAGCAATTATACTCCAATAAAGATGTTAAAAAATAATAAAAAAAAAAGACGTGAGAGGGTTAGAAGTATAAACTTAAGAAATTGCTGCTGAAACTATAACTGAATGAAGATTACAAAGGATAAGTAATCAACAACTATTAGGCGTAGTAACTGTTATTTATCATTATTGAAGGATCATTTGCCGTTCCACTTTAAAGCACTTTAAAGAATACTAAAAAAAAAGTGTCTTTTATATGTAATTGGAGACATTTATGCAGCTCTCTGCCTACGTTTCAGTGTGGCAAGATCTGACTCACCTGTTGAAGACTGGGTTCTCCTTTTCTTTCAGGTAAATCTTGAGATATCAGGAGAGGCTCGCTTTTCTCACAGCTCTCC